TCAGGGCAACAGCCCCAAGGCGTCGTCGCGGGCATCTCTATCGCGAGTGCGAGACTTTATGATTTTGTGGCGTATTTCGAGATTGAACAATAAATAAATCTATTCACGAACATTACGAACACAACCTGTTTATTACGCGAAAGGACAGCGCGAACACGAATACTGTTCGTGTTGATACTGAACAATTATATTTTGTTATTAATATTATGTATTCCCTATAAATTATGTAATAATAATTGTACACATTAGAAATGTTATAAAATATTGTAACACTCATTATTTAATCGAATGCGTGTGAATAAGACAAAATTCGATAAGTATCTAATTATTTTGAAGAATATTTAATAACTTTTCCAAAAGATCGGTAATAAATTAATCGGAAAATTCTTAATTTTTACACTGACTGTTGCTTCAATGACTGTAAAAACCCTTTCTAGGAGAAAACCCAAATTAGGACGCACCTGACATGGTAACCAACAGTTCAGATAAAACTATAAAAAGATCGGCGGGTAACACTTGGGTAGTGTTACTTGTTAGTATTATATTAAAGAACTGATCTCTCATAGATATGTTTATATGAAAAACTATCTTCATGATGACGGTGGTCGAGACGAAAAGTTTGCGACCCAGTCATTGTCGATTTCCGAAAACAAAGTAATAAGTTGATAAATAAGATTAGTGTTATTATTGATGAAATAGTATTATCTGTCTTGTATAAAGCTGCACGATATGTGTGTGTAATTAATTTATAATATATTATATGAAATACATATCTTATGGTTATACATATATTATACTTTCATGATAAAATAATCAGTTCTATGTACACAAAAATAAACTAAAAAATATATTCTGTAAAAATTATCTATAATGCTTTATCTTTTTGAGCTATACAGCACTGTAGAGCAAGAGAAAAAGAATAAAGAGCAAAATAAAAAGTAAAAGCTACACAGCTTGTAGGGCGAAAATCTTTTTACAATACTAATTTTTTGTTTACATTACAGACAACAACTTAAAAAGAAACAATAGCATTACATCTTTGATAATCTTATCAAGCAATTAACTAAACGCGTTGAAATTCAGAGATATTTGTTTTCATACTTATCTATTTAACATTATTGTATAGACAACATAGCTTCACGTCATTGTTGTATAGAATATAAAACAGTAAAGTAAGATATTGATGCGCTTACCAACTGCAATGAATTACATTTTGTTGGGAGTGTGTAATCACCTCTATTGTATTCTTTTTGAGTTATATGTTCCGTGGTTTTTAAGCCGCCATATTAGTTACGCTGTATTACTTTAAGTTTCGTCCGTAAGATGTCGAGATCTGTTCTTTGTTTAGTTTCATAGTTTAAGTTACGTCTCTAATGTATGTACCGTTCATCTTACGCTCGCACAACGAACGTCTTTGTAATCCGTTCAATCTGAATTACATCTTCTTTAAGGGGTTACATCTATCAGATGTCTCTTAAAATAGACCTTTTTTCGGGGATTTTTTTTCCCATGAAGCAATAAAACAATCAAAATGCTGTATAAAGGGTTCATTATACATATAATGAGGTGTATAAAAAAATTTTTTGTTTAATATGTTTTTCCAAAATGGCCGCAGTACAGACGGTTGAAGTACAGTGTCTTTTTCTGGAAGAGGTCTGCGGCAAGATGAATAACTTTTGCAATTTTTTTTATTTATCCGATCGACTTGAAATTTAAACTGTAGCTTCTTAGATATATTTTAAAGAGAAGTACACACGATTTTAATGATTGATTAACACTTACGTTTTTTATAAACGTTTAAACGTCAAATTTTTGCTGAAAGACGAAAAAAAAGTTCAAATTTATGTCTACTTACGAAAAATTAAGTTTGGTTAATAATCATGTGTACTTCTCTGACAAATTTAGTGTAGATTACGAAAAAATTTTTTATTTAGTCCTAGGTGCAAATGGAAAAATGTTATTCATCTTGTCGCAGATCTCTTCCAGAAAAAGAAACTGTACTTCAACCGTCTGTACTGCGGCCATTTTAGAAAAAAATATTAAACAAAATTTTTTTTGTACACCTTATTATATGTATAATGAACCCTTTATACTGCATTTTGATTGTTTTATTGCTTCATGGGAAAAAAAATTCCCGAAAAAAAGGTCTATTTTAAGAGAGGTCTGATAGATGTAACCCCTTAAGAATAACCCAACACATTTCCTTTTATTATATGCTGTGCATGTCATGTGATACATGTCGTATATATTCCGTAATAATAAGTAAAATATTTCTTACTGAAGCGAAACAATTTATAGATGCTACAAACAATCCACCCACATTCAAGCCGAAAGCTTTATTGCCCATTTGTAGCAGGAACAATATCAGTTTTTGTGCGTGTAACGGTGCTTTATACCAACGAACATTATATCTACAAAACAAATGATGAGACAACGACTCGAAAAGTATACAAAAAATACAGGAACAATCTTAAATTTATCGATGATTTAAGCTATACATATAAATCTCCATTTTTACTAGCAGTTACTAAAATACTGTTATAATTATAGGGTAATTCCGGGAGAGATAGCCCACCGGGTGAAATGATCTATTGAAATAATTTCATTACTATCTAATACATTTTCCCGGTGTAATATATCGGGTGGTTTTATTGTTAGAGACTTTTAAAAAAGTGTGGGCTGACTCTCCCGGAATTACTCGATATTAAATTCTTACGCGGTAGTAAATATATTATTATTGTGGTCCATGATTTCTTGTCCAATATAGTTCGCGATAAACATGTATAAGACGGTGATAGCTGTAGAAATTAAGTGTACTAGGAATTGCTCTTTATTCATTTCACCTGATACAATCTGATAAATCTAAAACAGCATAGCAACAATTAATATTATATGGTATATAGGATATCTCATAAGCATCATGAATATTCTACTTTAATAGCGTAATTGAGGTAACAATTAATCGACAGTGCTAATAAAAAAATTGATTGCAGTAATTTTTTAATTGTGACTAAACAACTACGATTACATGCTATTATACATATTGTATAAACTTATTGTTATCTATTCAAAGGTATTGAAACTCACTCGACAAAGGTTAAGGCTTAAATTGAGCACACCAATCGCTATTAAAAAGAAGAACGATCCCTCAAAATTAGATATTAAATACTTGCAAAACCTTCAAATATAAAAACATATTGTTACATCTACTAATGCAAGAATTATCAAATAAATACTAACTCCATAGCTTTGCGATGTACATCCACAGCATAAATTATTCCTTTATAAATTATAATCACGTTCTCGAATTTATTTTGTAAATTATTAGCCATCATTGCTTGTTCAATCCGAAGACTATGAATAATATATTAATATATTAATAATATATTTGGCAAAATTATATTTTTTTCTGTAGTTATTTGAGGTAATTAAGACAATTTTATTTCTAAATTAATTTTTTTCTCTTACATTTACCTGGCGATTTTAAACATTGCACATGCGTATGTAAAACATGCTATAAGCATCGTTCCTGTCGCTATCGTTGCAATTGACCCTATGAAAAAAGCTGTATTCATGTGGAATAAATATAAATAACAGTATTTTTCTTGATCAATAAACTGTTGAGTCATGACTTGCATCCATATACTTGATCGAGACTCGTTTTTAGGTTTAATAATGTCGAGAATGCGTGGCCATATTGATGAAACAATAACAATGGGTATAGCAACGATTGCGATTACTAAAGATATGAGAAAAATTGTCATATATATCATTCTTTGTTTCCTATATCGATTTACTATACATTTAAAATTTCTTGGGTTTTTGGTAATATATTTTAGCAAAAAAATAGTCGTGTAGTTATTTCAAACTCTTTCGGTATTAAATTCTTTAAAAAACCTCGCACAAACCTTTGAAATTCCAAAATCCATTTTCCTTAGGGTTTGTGTGGGGTCCTTTTTCCCCGATGAAAAATAAAATTAGGTAAAATTGGCTAAAACTTTGTCATATTATACTTCAAGTGAGGCTGATCGAAAGTTACCATTGCCACAAGTCAGTTTTATTAGCCGTTTTTGTCCTAAAAGTGTTCAAAGTTTGAATTATAATCACATTTATTGAACTTTGAGCCCTTTTGGTACAAAAACGGCTCATAGAATTAACTTGTGATAATGGTAACTCTCGGTCAGTGTCCCTTATATCAGTATTACTTGAAGTACAAATGACAAAGTTTCACCAAAGTCCATTTTCCGTAAAGTTTGTGCGGGGTCCTTTGGATAATTAAAATACAAAATAATAAGTGAAATTGGACTGGTATAAATCTTTATATAATTTTATACATTTTATACAATTAATTCGAGAAGCTGTCCTTTTCAGTTGGACTGGGTCTTGGTAGACTAATAATAATAATTCTGTTATGAATTTTGTATACTTTTTCCAACTCAATAAACTGTACGCAGATTATTTGTTGATCTCAAAACACTTTTTTTGTTGGAAGAGTAAATCCGCATATTTTTAAATTGATAGTTTATTTAACATTTTATGTAAATTTGTATGTATATGATAAAAATCGGTAGTTCTCTTACATATAATTATAGCTGTATAACGTTTTGCGTTGCTCCCATATCTTTTCATAAGTATGATCTCATTTTCGTTTTTTAACTCGTTACAAATATACTTAAGTTCCTCAAATAAATTTTTCATCTATTGCGTCAATAATTTTTTATTCACAACACTTCTTGTAAAATGGAAGAATAATTGTTTGGAAAAAAATTGTATAGAGAAAAACAATTGCTTATAGCAGATATTTCAATATTTATTTAAATGTATACAAGAAAAATCCAACTTACGGTTTGACCGTTAACCCAAAATGAATTATATTGAATTATAAATCCAAGCTGAAGTGACATGAAAGAACATACTGTGATAATATAATCGGACGTGTACTTTACCGTAAATAATATTGTAAGCTACAATCAATAAATAAGTTGTATTATAAAATATTTCATTATTAGTAGAATGTGTATCTCTGAATGTGTATTAAATTCTTTTATATAATTATATATAGTATAATTTATATTATATTTTTATAATCAAAATGTTGGGATACCCTATATTATCATATTATATTATGGTTAATATTTTTACAACATATTATCAGTATCCGGTGTCCCAAACTTTCCAAAAGGTTTGACAAACATAGGTTTGAAAAACAACCATTAATGAATAATTTAAACTTGTGTACATGTAACCCAATAACTCAGTAAACACCGAGCATCAGTTACATTGTATTTATGTTATAATTTTTCACTCAACAATGTAAATGTAATATAACACATGTGTTTACTGTGATGTAATTGCAAATAAATTAGCAAGCAAATTAGTAAACTCATAAAGTTATAAGAACTGTTCAAAGTAACTATATTCAGCAGTAATATACATATACTTCAATACGCCTTCTCATTGCCAAACACGGTCAAAAATAATATAAGAAAAATATTTCGTGCAATATTAAACGAATGCGTCCCCAAAATTCATTCATATTTTTAATAGATCTTACAGAATAAACTAGAGTTTTAAAATGACCCCAGATGAAAATCAATAGAAATGATATCTATTAAACGAGAGAACCAAAAAGTTTGATCATCTTTACCAATCCAGTGTTCGGGATATGAGATATTTAGAAGGGGTGAGCAGTTAATGCTAACAGTTAGACTAAAATTATTTTCGGTACTCAGAGATATCGTAGTGGTAACTTAATTAGATCTTTCTTTGCAAATAACTTTAGAAAATAATTTTAAATATCTTGTGACTGATATAATTCGTTAATAGTTGGTTTTCGGACCTATGTTTAACTTTTTGGTTTGTTTTTATCTCTATTAGATCTCTATATAGTGTTAACGTTTAACCAAATATTTTTAGGACATATGTCGGTTTCTTTATATAATAATATCTTTTGTAAAAAAAAGTATAATATTAATATACCTGAAATATAAGAAAACTTATCAGAATACTAAAAAGTAAGATCTGCTGAAATAAAACTAGTTTTGATTGTTTGTAGGGCCATAAGCCAACCGTAAGCAGAAGAATGCGATTTATACTAAAATACTGATTTTCTAAAGAAACCATCTCTTGTTAAGAGTCGAGATGCGGTTGACTGTAAAATGTCAGCAAAGTTTTACGTATCCTTTCATTTTGCTTTATAAAATTTCTTTTTCTGCCTCTAAGTTTTAACGTTGATTGTATAATTTATTATAAACGCACAGCTAAGCGGTGTAAAATAGTAACATCAAATTGTAAATAGGTAGCATGCAATTTAGTATATTCGTTTGGGGAGAGGTCAATGATTAAGCAATCGATTTGACGCTGAACAAAATTTAACAAATGTTTATTTCCCATAGAAAAACG